GTCCACTTAATGTGGACATGCTAGTTCGAATTAGCAAAACGCTAATTCGAACTAGTTTTTTAGTCTGGATCCGTTAGTTCGAATTAGCTTAGTTCGAATTAACGTTGTAGTGTAGACGTACCCTTAGTTATCTAGTCCAGTCCCTGACACTGAGGCAGGACTAAATAATATCATCCCTGACAGGAGATCTCCTCAATGGAGATTCTGCAAGTTCCCTAGGTACTCTTAGTTCGAATTAACGTTGTAGTGTAGACGTACCCTTAGTTATCTAGTCCAGTCCCTGACACTGAGGCAGGACTAAATAATATCATCCCTGACAGGAGATCTCCTCAATGGAGATTCTGCAAGTTCCCTAGGTACTTTGTTCCAGTGCTTAACTGTAGGATTTCCCTTGCTGCAATTTAAGCCCATTACTTCTTCTCCTGTTCTCAGTGGTTAAGCAGAATAATTTGTCACCAACCTCTTCATACATATTTGAAGTCTATTATACTTTTCCCCCTCAGTCTTCTCCAGACTAAAACCATTTTTCCTGTCTTTCCTCATAGCTCATGGTTTTTAAAGAGCTGTAATTATTTTTACTGCTGTCCTTTGGACTTTTTCCAGTTTGTCCACATCCTTTCTAAAGTGTAGGGACCAGAACTGGAAAAGCTATTCAACTTGAAGTCTTATTAGTGCTGAGTAGAGTAAAGGAATTACTTCTCTTGCTTACAGCACTCCTGCTAATACATCCCAGAATACTGTTAGTTTTTTTTTGCAAGAGTATTATATTTTTTTACTTCTGTTTAGTTTGTGATCCAGATCTTTTTGCATTATTCCTTCAGAAGCAATTCTTTCCTATTTTGTATTTCTGCAATCTGCTGTTCTTTCTTAAGTGTAGTATTTTGCTTTTGCACTAGAGGGATAATTGGGACTGGCCTGGGATTGTTCACAATCAGGCAAAAAGGGGTCAGATTTCTTGTGCCCTCCACTCCCTGCTGGGACTAGCACACTCTCCCCCTAGAAAGGCCCAGATCCATATCAATTAAGGATGCAATTCATTTGTTAATATTTGAAAGACATGATCCTTGTAATTAATGTTACCAGACAAGTAAGCTGTGAATGTCCTCTTTATGTGACTACTGTTCATAGTAGAGCCGTGGGAGAGAAGTAAAGGAAACAGAACATTATTCTTCCGGGAAGACCAACACAAGAAAGCAAATGTACAAGCTAACTGTTTGAATGCTTCACAAATATCTGCATGTGTCACTTATACTTTGTAAACATCTTCCCCCTCTTCCCCTAATGTTTAACAAGCAATTAATTTAATTGGTTATGGTTGGTCTCATAGCTTCTATTATGAACAAGTGCTATTCATTTAAAAGGTCAAGAGCAGTCTCTAAGTATATTAGCTGTAATTCTCTTATGCATAATTTAGTTATTTACATGTAAGTAGAATGCATTTGAAATTCCATAAATATAACTCATTATTATCAACAAATGGAATTACAGATACATTTTAAAACAATAGACTTTTGTGTGTACTGAGCTATTTATTATTTAACAAAAGTATAAAAACATCAAACAGCCTACAATAAAATACATGAGTATTCCCTTATTTAAATATTTGATAAAACAAGAAGTCAGATGCATTTCTTCAAGTTGCAGAGAACAAAGAAAATAAAAGGTCAGAGGGCTACAGTTTTCTCTGAAGATACCAGTAACTCATTATCACTAACAGGAGTGATGTATAAGTGCTTAAAGGAGTACACAGTCCTCCAAATAAGGTATAGAAGCTGATGTCTTTTTATAAGCCTTTTCTCCTATCCACAAATATCTATTGAGCTATCCAAGCTAATTAGGGTACTTAGTTGTTTCAAGGACTCTTGCAAATCTGGGTGGATATGATATCCTGGGGAAAATGTTAGATCTATGCTTTTCAAAGGTCCTCAGGGAATTAGGGGCCAACTCCTCTAGCTTCTCTGGAAATCACAGCCTAAATGATTTATTAGCTCACAATGTTACAAATGTGCAAGTGTCTGATATTACACAAAAGTCTCATTCAGTTAAAACATGTGAGATCTATTGATTTTCCCTTTCCCTTGCACATCGAACTCTTGCTCAGTGTTTTATAAAAGGCACAGAGGTTGCCACAAATAGCTTACATTATAGAGTGAGGGTAGGTGACAGTTCAGGACACTTGAGTGTAGTATAAGTTAGGGATGTTCGATATCAGGTAATTGAATAGACAAGTAACCACATGAATTCTTAGAGGTTACTCGACTATTCTATAGTCCCCGAGGGTGGGGCCAGCAGCCAGCGCAATCCAGCCCCACTCCTGGGTAGTCCCCTGGCACTCCACATTGCTGCCTCTGTATCGGTATCTCCCACCTGGCACCCTACGCTGCTGCCTGCTCAAGAGAGGAGCCCTAGCTCCCCACGTAGACTGGTTGTCTGCCCTGTGCTGTTGCCTCTAATGCAGGCCTGACTCTGCCA